TATTTGGAGAACTCATAAACAGTCTTATGTAGCCCTATCTACTTGTCTAGCAGAATATGTTGGGATGAGTGAAGCAAGTCAAGAGATTTTGTCTATTTTCAATTCTCTGAAATTAATATTTCCACCCCAGTTTCCTATGACATTATGGTGCGACAGTAAGGCAGCGATGAGTAGTGCAGAAGTAAGTGGGGGAAATAAGTTAAGACATATTGTAGATGTCAAAGCCCATCACATTAAACACTGTATTAAAGTCAATTTGATCAAAGTAAACTGGATCAGTTCCAGAGATCAATTATCTGACGTATTTACCAAACCTCTGGCGTTTGAACTGCACAACTGCCAAGTTGATAAAATAATGAATGTAAATATCTAATTATTGTCTTACTGTCTGTTTAGTGAAAAAGAGTACGTAAACTTGATGATGGCATTATATGGAGGAGGACTCAGGAGCAGTCGGGAGGGAGTGTTGGAATATGGCTCCAGCTGCTGGTCCTAATACAACATTTTCTATAGTATAAGACATATCTGTGTACGCTAAGAGGGGAACGAGATCGTGCGCATACGCAGATCTCGCCCCAGGCCGGTTGCGGTGTGTGTGCGATACATTCCTATACGAGACCTGTTGAATGCTAGACGCGAGACGAGTGACGTGCTTTATTGAATAAATATTGATGAGTTAATGCAGTGTTTCAATTTATTGTGTCCCAATCCCGCATAATCTATAAACTTTTTTTACAATTGGTTCTCATTCGAGTGCTGTTCGAGTGCTCATTCGAGATTCTCGATGCTCTTCTTCATATTTAAGTTAAGCCATTGATTAGTGTCAGTTTTCATTTCGTTTGATCTATCTATTTTTAACGCTAATAAATTCTTATTCTTTCATAGTTGATTAATGAAAAATATTATAAATAAAAAAATACGCGGTATATGTTATATCCCCCATCTCAACCCTTGTATCTACATACGGGAAAACATACTTAATAAACTTTTTTCATGATTATTCAATTTTAAATTATGTATTTCGACCTTATTTATTATTTATAATCGCTGAAAAACATGAAAAAAACATTAAGCACAAGGAGAACAAGGACCCACCTTAAATTTGTCCCTGTGACAGCGGGACTAGGGTTGTGCGTACCGTATCGATACTTCGGGATATCGATATTTTGAACTCCGATATCCGATATTCGATATCGATATTTCCTTGTCGCGATATCGTGGGTATCGATATTTTTTCCGATATCACTATTTTTCGGCGGGAGATACAGGTGGATGCAGTCGCACATATATCCAGACAGATACAGAGTAGTTTCGAACAATAACATTCAAAATGCATTGTACACAAGCCGGTAAGTACCCATTTGCGATTAAACTGCAGCTATCTCTTAATTAGAATTGATAATCCATGTATTTTACATGGAAAAATTTTAACTGAAGGAGGTATGGAAGTCAGGTACTTAACCTTAATAACTGTAAACCTCCAACAGCGTAATCCTCGATGGACGGGCAATTTTTTTTTTCAGTACCAGCTTCCAAAGAAATATATAAGCTGTATTTTAGTATCAATCAGATAGACAATTATCTTGTCAATAGAGTCGATTTTCAGTTGTACTTGCAAGTTACACGTGAGTATTGACGACTCACACAATATTTTCATATGCACATGATCATTCATTCATATCAAATTTACTTTTTCGAAAATTTAATTCAGACTAAATGAACGTGTTTAATCTTTACGAGTTTCTATGAACCTTTTTCTTCCTCATAATTTGAGTATTTAAAAGCTAAGCTCTTAATCTTTCGTTTCTATGTTGATACTTATGGCAAAATGTTTCTCTAGAGGATAAATCTGAGTCAGAGAGACTCTGTTACGAATTACTGGCAACGGGCACAATGCCCAATGAAGTGGACAAAATCGAATTAATCCACATGAGTCTTGATGGCATCAAATTGTAAGTATACATTTTCATTCCAAAATACCTCCATTCTGCTTTCATTATTATTTGAGAATACTAAACGAAAAAATTATGGTAATTCTAGTGAGCTCATTGCAGAGTTCATGGAGCTCTTAGACTATGAAGAAGATGCGTAGGATAACCTTCACAATGAATCAAAATCAGTTTCAACACCAGAGAAGAGAAATAACATGGACCTTGACTTATCAGATTCAGGATCAGAAACTTCAAAATTTGATGGACAGGATGGTACAGCCTGCAAACCTCATAAAAGTTTCCAAGAAAAACTTGAGAGAAATTTAGATACATCCAGGATGTTCCAAATAAAACAACTGTGAATTGCAATCGTAATACAAAGGGGAATGGTCCACGCAAGGAGATCGCTGCCCTCAATAAAATTCCCAAAAAGTCTAGGTAATTTTGTGAACTACTTTTTTTTCTCATCAAGGTTCATAAATCTATGTCATCAACCTACTAATATACATTTCTGCTCCGAAAATAGAAAAACACCAATGAAACCAAGGAATGCCACGAACAGCCCAATTTGGAAGTTTTTTTATAGAAGTAAAACGCGGTGGAGAATGTACTTTATGTGGTAAATTGGTCCAGTTTTTTGGTAACAGAACGAATGCTGCCAAACACCTGAAAAATTATCATATCATGAATCGGGATGTCCAGGAAGTTCTCTCTGCACTTGGAAAACTACCAGTAAGTAGCATTTTCTTTTTAATCGGCACTTGTACTATTTCTCTCGTCTTCTCAGCCATTTTTCAATCTTTAATATCACTCAACTCTCAAAAGGAACAGAACAACATTGAAAGCAACAACCACTCAGCCGGTCCACATGTCGATGATAATCAGCAGGTATCTACATAGAATTCATTTGTATGTAGATTCATATCGATTAAACTTGGCATTCATTCCAGATACACAGTTTAAAGTTGAGACCATCAACGTTCCAAAGTGCTCGTCTGGTAATGTGTTAATATAGCAACTCCAACGAATTTTTCGAGGAAGCTGAATTATTTTGTCATCCAATATAAATAGAAATTGAAATCAGGAAAAAAGTTGAGTCAGACTCAATTAGGTAAATAACTTGAAGGGGGTGACTGGGTCAAATTTTGGCCTTTGTGGGGTTCATACCAGCTGCGTCCCCGTCGCGAACCCTGGGTAATGGTAAGTACTGGTGAAGCTTGATACTTTGAAAAATAAGTGCTTTAATACACGTTGAATTTATATGAACACCTCATAATTGAAATTTCATAAATTGCTTTTAGAAGGGAGAGCGCAGAAAGGGAAGTCCCGTACATCTACATAAGCATCCACGTTATTAAGTGTAATAGCTCAAAGGAGGTTAAATTCATTTATTGCAACTAGGTTCCGACAAAATATATGTCAAATTACTTCAAGTTCAATGTAAAAAAGTTCATATTTACCTATCAGTATCCAGAATGAGTAGGAGGTGCTATTCTACCTAATTACCGCTCGTCCAACAGTTTCAAAAGCTGATCAGCCCCGTATCGATTATACATTCAGTCGAGTGAACTCGTTCAAAGGTATGCAATGATCGCAAATGAAAATGACAAAATGGAACAGGTTAATAATTTATATATTCCATTGACCACCCTGATAGATCAAACCCAGAGTTGACCCAGAGTCAACTCTGGGTTCATGGAGAAAACCCAGAGTCCCTGGTGGAAAAAACTCCTTAAATCCTATTGGAAGAAAAAAGGGTAATTGGAAATAATGACGTTATTGCCGTTGACCCATTATTTCCAATTCAGGTTAGTAGCGCAATGCTGACACGTATGGAAAAATCCAATAGCAAAACCAAGCGAATTAGCTAGAAAATTCTATTGGGATTCTGGAGAAAATCTATCGGATTTCTATGGGATTTCTATTGGAATTCTATTGGAAAATTCTATTATTTTTTTGCGCTGATTCTATTGCGTATTTCATACGGAAAAGTCAATAGTTTTTGAATTTCTTTCTCCAGAATCCCAATAGAATTTTCTAGCTAATTCGCTTGGTTTTGCTATTGGATTTTTCCATACGTGTCAGCATTGCGCTACTAACCTGAATTGGAAATAATGGGTCAACGGCCATAACGTCATTATTTCCAATTACCCTTTTTTCTTCCAATAGGATTTAAGGAGTTTTTTCCACCAGGGGTTTCTCACTCTTTACTCTGGGTTTTTTCCATGAACCCAGAGCTGACTCTAGATCAACTCTGGGTTTCATCCATCAGGGCATTCATTCAAAAACTATTGATTTTAGGAGAATTTTCCAAAAAGCTAATGTTGTTGCTAAACATAATCTACTAAAATTTCCTTGTTATTTCCCTTTGAGTTAATATTTCTCTACAAAATTTCTACTCTGGTAATAGATATGAACCGACGACTGCCTTTCCATTCTGCCACTTTATTATTTAACCAGATATGACTGTTAATACCTGGGGTTCATTATTCGATAACATTGGTTTCAGAGGGTGGATCGTTGAGTGGCACCGTAAAAAATACACTCTTGTATATGATGATCAAAGATGAACTGATATTCCGCTTCACACAGAAAGAAGGAATGCGAAATCTCCTATCTGCCATGGCTTCTCATTATCAAATACCAGGGAGAAAGGCCCTGACAACTTTCATGGAACACAAATATGCTTCATTGGGCATGCTTATTAAAAACAAATTGAAGAAAGTTGATAATCTGACGATCACCACTGATGTATGGACAGATACCAACACAACTCGTGGGTTCCTGGGATTTACTCTTCATTACTGGGATGGGCTCATTTTGTCACTTATAATTTGGAAACCATGCTATTGACGAAGAAAAGAACTGCTGAATATCTTTCAGCGAAAGCTGTGAAGGACAGTTTCGGAGAGGGAAAACGTTGAATGTTTCGCTCACAAATTGAATCGGGCAGTTAATAATATCATCCATATAAAAGTCAGCGAAGAAAATCAAGACTAAGAGAATGTAAATGAACAGGACTCCAGAAGCACTCCACTGAAGAACAATATCCATGACTTAGTTACAAAAATGAAAGGTATTGTCACATTCTTCAAACAATGGACTACTGCCTCTGATAATTTACATGCTGAACAATTCGAGGAAGACTTCGAGTACCGTTTGATTCAGGAAGTATGTACACGATGGAATTCAACATTTTTTATGATGAAACGATTTCTTCATTTAATCGATATGATGACTCCCATTCTTTTAAAGACTCGGAATGCTCCAGTAATGTTGACACAGGAAGAAGTGGTACAAGTGGAAGATGTTGCTAAATTATTAAGACCTGTAGCTGAGCTCACTGCAGAGTTCAGTGGTACAATATATGTCACGAACAGCAAGGTTATACCTGCTGTCTGCCTTCTTCGTGAAAATATTGCTGGAAAGGTGAGTAACACTGAGATAGGTGATGAACTGAAACGTCATTTTCTGAAGGAACTGGACAAACAGTTCAACAAATGGGACGAGAACCCTCTCCTGACAATTGCCACTTTATTGGACACCAGATTTAAACGGATGTACTTCCCAGCTGCTCTCACATGTTCAAAAGTACTGAAATTAGTTGAAAACCAGATTTCCATCAGTCTAGATTCTGGTGCTGGAGTCACTGAAGAGCCAATAGTAGATAATTTCTGGAGAAGTCACTGTGAGCGACTAAAACGACAAAAGAAATACGAATCTGAGGCATCCTTTGGAAAATTACATCTTGATTTGCAGCAGTACATTCATAAGGAAAATTCACAGCTCCATGAAGACCCTATGAAATACTGGTGTGATCAGAGGTTCAATTATCCAAGGCTTGCGGAAGTTGCTATCAAGTATTTGTCGACGGTGGCTACTTCAGTTCCATGTGAAAGACTTTTCTCAAGAGCTTCCAGTGTTGCTACAGTTCTGCGTAATCGTCTTAGCACAGAACACATTACAATGCAGGTTTTACTGAAATCTCTTGATTATCATGACTGGTACGGGTAGGAATGTTAATTTATACTGTTTGACGGTCTTTCCGAAAAAAAAGTATTATAGTTTTACAGCTGCTTGGCCAAAAATGTACGTGATATATAAAGATATATCTGGATCTATATTAAAGAAACAACCTCATCACCATGATGAATAGAGACCCCTACAATTTTCGAATTTCAGTTGTTTCGCCTTAATGAGAGCAATAAGAATAATTACACGTGTGATGAATAAGATTTTACTCATTTCTCCTTAATGAGAGCAAAAAGAATGATTACAAGTTTAATGAGTAAGATGCACTGCATGACCAAGGAGTGTTTATAATATAAAAAAATATAAAAAATATAACATAGAAAAAAAGATGGCGGAAGTGAGTGGTTGTGCGTATGGTTGCTAAGCGGTTTTTGATTGAATTGTGTGTTTTCTAGCTATTATGGTTCTACAAAAGTTGGTGTAATCGGTCCTGATAGCATCTGTATCTCCTTCGAGAGTATTACACTGAAAAAAAAAATTACGTCTGCCAAGGAATCATTTTCTTGGGAGAAGTATTTATTTTTTGCGGAGCGTATTTCTCCAGGCCAGTCATTGTCAAAGAGTCCAAGTCCATCTCTAAATATTACAATTATGTTCAATTATGGAATGATTATATTACATATGACCTTGAATGAACTCCATTGACAATTATTAACCTTTAAAATTATTTGAAATTATTATACGTTAGAAAACCTCGAATTTGAAAAAACTGAAAAATAATGAAGCGTGTTCATTCAAGATCATATGTAGCATAATAATCTCATTATTCAACATAATTGTAATATTTAGAGATGGACATGGACCACCTGGGAATGACTGGCCTAGAGAAATAAGCTCCTAAAAACATAAATTCTTCTCCGAAGAAAATGATTCCTTGACAAAAGTAATTTTTTTTCGCAGTGTGGTACTTGGATTTTTGAGTTTGGAATACAGTTTTGAGTGTTTTTACGCTGTAGCCGTTTAGCCTCGTGGCATCGTGGCATTGGAACGTGATGAAGCGTGTGTCTCGGCTGGAGCTGCTCCCATCTATATGTCTTGATGAAGGACTTATTCATTGTCCAAATATTCATTGTTTAAATAGTGTCACATGGCATCGTGGACATTAATCAAAGTGGTGAACATCATTGTTTTCGGTGTTGGCCGAGGGGCGGTGGGAGAGGGGATTCCTCTCCTCTCTGTAGTCCGGCGGTGGCGCTACTCCCAATGTCGATAAGCATCTAAATGATTTCCTAGATTACCATGGGTCAGTATGGATTATAATCAGCCGTCGATAATGGTATCTGTTGCGGGCAGCTCGCAATCAGCGCTAAATGTCTCAGCATAACCAGCTTGCGTGGGGAGCTTACTAATACCTAGCTCTCTGGATGGGGCTATCTTCCAGCAAATCTTCCTGGGTTGTAAAAGACCTCCTGTGCGGGACAACGAAACCTGTGCCCTGTGTGGTGGTATTTACCACCCGGGATGTGCCAATGCAGCGGGGAAAATGGCAAATGGGGGTATTGAACGCTGCTGTAGGACCAAAGGTAGTGGCAAGATTTCGCCGGTGAAGACTGTGTTTTCTCTCTCGAGTGATGACAGGGAGAACATCATTAATGAACTGAAAATGACGATGAGGGATGAATTCAAGAAGGAGTTATTGGGGGCTATGAAGGAGGCTGTGAGGGATACGCTCGTGGATATAAAAGATGATTTGGTTAAACAGTTGGATGATATAAGTAACCTAGTCGTAAATCTGCAACTGGCTACTCAAAACAATCAGGCCAGAGCTGAAGTAATAACTGAGGACATTGCAGCTTTGAGGGCTCATGTTCTGAACATTGAAAGTGATACCAATGCCAAAACTGACAAAATTGTGAAGGATGTAATCGGGTTGCGGGAGGGGGTGGTGGACAAATTGACAGCAGTACAGGGGACCAGTGATTCTACATCTTGTGCTAAATTGACTGAGAGCTGCTTGAATGAGATGGAGGATCGGTTATCACGCAAATCGAACGCGATCATATTTAGTGTACCTGAAGCCTTGGCTCAAGGTGATGGAGCTGCCCTAGAGAGAAAGAAACAGGATCTTGAGAAGGTGACACGGACCTTGGAGGACCTTTCAGTTGGTGAGAATGGAAATAAAGTTGTTTTTTTTCATATGGGTAAATTTTCGGCTAATTTGGCCAAGCCTAAACCGATAAAAATTGTTCTCACATCCTCTGATAGGGTATCTACTCTGATTCGTAACGCTTCACAGATGAAAAAAGGTAGGATGCGCCCGTGTCCTTGAAACAGGTGTCCATACTGCCAGATCAAACAGAAAACCAGAGAATTCAGTACAAGAAGTTAAAGGCAGAGTTGGAGGAGAGAAAAAGGGTAGAGAACGACCCGAACCTAAAAATCCTGACAAGGAATGGTGTACCGAGGGTCTGCTCGGCTGCTCCGCGCCGAGGAGGAAAGAAGTTTTAAATAACTCGGATTCCGGTGGGTCGCGTGGTCTTGGTGATCGAAGCGGTTCCTATTTCAGCGTTTACTATCAGAATGTCAGCGGCATGAACACCAAGGCGGCAAGTGTGAAGCTGGGGTCGAGACTGAGGGATGAGGACTGCATCGCGATAACTGAGACCTGGCTCACTGAGGATCGCTACTCTGCAGAGTTTTTTGATGGTGATGGCTTCGTCGTTTATCGATGTGATCGTCGAGATGCATCCAAAACTGAAGGTGGTGGTGCTCTGTTAGCAGTGAAGCTGAATTTCAAATCGGCTTTACTTAATTTGAAACTTCTTAATGACAATTTTGTAATGATTGATACTGTTGGTGCTGAAATCTGGTTTGATTCTGGGCACTACTATGTCATTGTTGTTTACATCCCTCCGTGGATTAAATATGATGTCTTTGTTGAGTATTTTGAAACTTGTGCTCGTATAGATTGCTTTAATAATAAGAGATGTATTTTTTTAGGTGACTTTAACTGTTCTGAATTTGTCATTGACGATGGAGGCCTGCGTGGGGAGAAAACAAACTCTCTCACTGACTTTCTTACTAGGTGTGAGTTAAGGCAATTCAATTGTGTGTTGAATGACAATGATCGTATGCTTGACTTTGTCTTATGTAGTTCGAGGTGCACGGTAGATAGATGTCCAGTTCCCTTGCTGAAAGAGTCGGTACATCACCCGGCGCTTACGATAAGTACTTTAAAGAATGTGAGAGCTCCTCAGGTTCATGATACTGGTAATGGTCTTGAAAAGTCATTCAATTTTAGGAAAGCGGATGTGGGCGCTGTTAAGTGCCGTCTATCCACCGTGGACTGGTCTTTTCTCGCGTCGATTGATGATGTCAATGGAATGTGTGACTCATTTTATAAAACTGTCCTTGAAGTTTTTGAGGAAACTGTTCCAATGGTTAAAAGATGTATCTCGAAAAACAAATATCCTTTCTGGTATACAACGGCAATTATTTCAGACATTAAGTTGAAAAATAAGCATCGTAGCCAATTCTTAGAGTACAATTCTAGTTTTCACTTTGCACAATTCGTGTCGCTACGTAAGAAAATCAATGAACATGTGAAATCAGCGTATAGGTCGTATATTGTGAGCATTGAAAATTCACTAATTGATGATCCACAGGGTTTCTGAGGTTTCCGGAGGTCTATGAAAGGAGAGTCGCAAACAATGTTCTCTCTCAAGTATGATGGTCAGACGGTGGAGGAGTCACGGGAAGTAGCTAATCGATTCGCGGAATTCTTCATGAGTGTCTATAGGCCGATGTCGGATTTTGATAATGCTCCCAGGGCTAAATGTTCTCTGGGAGATAATGCTAGGTTTGATGAATCGGAGGTTAGGAGAGCATTATTGTCGTTAGCGTCAAAGTCATCGTCTGGAATGGATCGTATTCCAAGCATATTTGTGAGGGCGGTGGGTGACTCACTCGTGGAGCCACTCACGAAGATATTCCATCAGTCATTAATAAATGATACATTTGCAGATCAATGGAAAGTCTCGAAGATATATCCGGTGCTCAAAAAAGGGGATAAAACAGTGGTCGAGAATTTTAGGCCGACCGCGGTGTTGCCATCATTTTCGAAGGTTTTTGAAATCTGTCTTTATGATCGCCTTTTTGCGCTGTTGTCTTCTCGACTCTCCATGTCGCAACATGCGTGTGTACCGAAACGCTCCACAATAACAAACCTTGCTGTCCACACTCAGTTTATTAGTTCTGCGCTCTCTCAAGGACACCAAGTCGATGTCATTTTTACTATTGATGAAAATCGAGGGTTTGGGTGTTTCCGGGAGATGGCTGGATACAATTAGATCGTATCTCACAAATCGCTCTTGCGTGTTTTCTTGCAATGGAGTCTTTTCGGATCCCTTCTATCCGACCTCAGGAGTGCCCCAGGGCTCTAATTTGGGGCCACTGCTATTCAATATGTTTATAAATGACATTAGGATGGAACTGAGCTGCGTACCTTCAATATATGCTGATGATGCGTAACTTTGTAAAGTGATAAGTAATGAGGATGATGCCGATAGACTTCAGACTGATGTTGACAGATTCGTACGGTGGTGTGATATGAACTTTCTAGATCTGAATGCGCAAAAATGTAAGAAATTGTCATTTTACCGTGGGCTGAGAGTGATTGAGACTAGCTATGTTGTGAAAGGCGTGGTGATTGAGAATACTGAGGAATGTCGAGACCTGGGGGTTGTCTTTGATCGTGGGCTGACTTTCAATAGCCACATAAATGGTATGACTGCCTCAGCAGCTAGGATTGTAGCGTTTGTATTGAGGGTGTGCAAGAATTTTACCAACTTGTAAGCGATCAGAACACTCTACCTTGGTTTCGTTAGGCCTCAGTTTGAATATGCGTCTCTGATATGGAATCTGGTGTTTGCAAATCAAATTAATAAGATTGAGTCGGTGAACAAAAGGTTTCTGAAGTTTTTGTGTTGGAAGAAGGAGGGTTTTCATCCTGACAGGGGGTTTGACTTGTATGATTTGTGTAA